AAAAAAAAAAAAAAAAAGAAGTACACAACGCTAAGACAACTGCAACTGACCGAACAACCTCTTGCCCTTTAAGCGTGAGATGAGCAGCCCTCTTTTTCACTGACGTGCTGTTCTGCCGCAGCCCCCCGGGTGCTGGGACTCATGGCTGAAGCAGGCCTTTGTGCCCACCTGTACCCCACCCCAGAGCACCTGCCTTCCTGCCATCGCCGCAGTCTCTGTCACGGGCTCCGCCTCCTCTCCGTGCCCCCACCAGCCCGACCCCTGCCCCTGCCCACATCCCGAAGGAACACTGGCCGGCCGGCAGGAAGCAGACCCCACCGAGGGAAGGGCAGTGCCACGGCGCAGTCCCTGAGGCTGTGCGGAGCAGAAGCAGGCCCAGGCGAGCCCTCCGGGCCTGGCGGTCCTTACCCGCCACGGGAAATACTGGTCTTTCAGGTGGCCGATCCCCAGGCAGCCACGGATGTTCTTGCCCCACACGAAGAGTTCACCTCTGTCTGCAAAGGAAGGAGAGGGGCGTGGGGACCGTGCAGAGTGCGGCTTCCTAGCCAGGCGTGGTCTGTGCCCAGACCCAAGTCCAGCTGCGCAGGCAGCCCAACCCCAGGGACAGGGACACGGACAGGTGCAGGCACACAGCGTGCAGGGCTCCTGCTCGCCCCCGAGCAACCCGCCCACAGAGGATGCTTTGCTGTGCCGTTTGGGCTTCCACTTTCAGGAACGCTGGGTCAGTGACACAGTTACAGATCTCTCTGTGGGGCAGAGCTATGTGTGTGCTGGGAGCTGGGGACAGGACATTCGCGGGCCTGAGCCAGCCCACGCGCTACACTAAAAGAAATGACGAAACCAGCAAGCACACTGCTACAAAGCATAAGAAGCGGCTCGTAGGATGAAGATGCGGTGCTCTGAAAGGGGGCCCCATGCTGTGGTCTCCTCCTGGCCCGTCACCCACGGTTCTCACTGGTCCCCACTGTCACGGAGTCAGGAGCGGTGGGACCTTCAGAGGTACTCAGGTCACCAGCCCCACCCGCACAAAGGGACCGCGGCTGCCCCGGCGGGAGCGCACGGGTGTGAGAGCCCTGGTGCTTCTCTCCCACCCCGCAGCCGCTGACCTGGGGCTTCCGGCCCCCAGGACTGAGCCAAACAAATGAAACAAAGCTCTTTTCAGAGGACCCAGACCCACTGACAGAAAACGGGCTAAGCCATGGCTGGAGACCACGCCAGCTGGCACTCCGGGAATCCGGCACTTACCTGGGCCCAGCTATGAGGTCCCTGTCGCAGCCTGGACCCGCAGAAGGCTCAGGCACGGGATGCGGAGAAAACCACCCATGGGCAGAGGCAGAACCGACCGCACGCAGCCCTGCTCTGCGCGGCCGTCGCAGCCCCGCAGCCTGAGCCTGCCCTGCCCTTGGCGCTCGGACAGAACGCCTGGCCAGCTCCGCGGCCCGGGGACAGCCTGTGGCACGCCAGACCTTGGGCTGCGGGACGGGAGCAAGCACCAGGGGGAGGCCGGGCCTCTCGGCGGGCGGCCCAGCGGGCTGGGGGCTCGGGAAGCGCGCACCGGACAGGGGAAGTCCCCTCTCAGGCACTTCCTGCGCCTTTCCAGGGTTTCCCTCTGCGCACAGCCTTGGGGGACCCAAAACATGGGTACGCACGGCAGGCTTAGGCCACCGGGCTCTTATCTGCTGAATCAGAACTGCATCAGAAACGCCACAGAAACAAAGTCCAGACGTGGGCGCCCTCGGGCCCTGCCATGGACGCCACAGGCCGCGCGGGACTCTGCGGGACAGAAGGCATCGCGGACGGGCGCCGCCAGCCACTGGCGTTTGAACCGCTGAAACCTCACACGAAGTAACCCTCTTCCATTAAAAAGAAACAACCCTTAAGTGAAGCTAAAAATTCAACACAGCCGTGGATGCAGCGCAGCGGCAGGGTGCTCACCTAGGACATGTGAGGCCCCAGGCCTCCCCAGCACCAAAACAAGCAGATAAATGAAAGCGTGCTGAGATGCAGCACAGGGGTAGGGCTCTTGCCTGGTCCAACCCCCAGCACCACGAAATTAAGTAAACAAAGGAAAATTAAGTAAATAAAAAAATGTTCAAACTGCACAAGCCTCCCGACTCCTCTGCAGACAGCGGCAGAGAACCGTGAGCACAGTGCCCGAGGGAGCTCGGCCCCCAGGGACAGGGCGCACAGAGTGGAGCCCAAGACCTCGAACCCGGACAACCCAAGGGGCCCAGATACTCAGAGAGAAAACCCTCAGAATGAAACAAGGGACTTCAACTGCAAGACACAGCTAACTTCCTGGAGGATCACGAGAGTGCAACTCATTCTGCACTCTGACTGCTCAAGCCGGGCAGACAGCAGCAGCCGGACCCGAGCGACGGGGCCGCGTGCGCCAGCGCAGCTCCAGCCTCAAGGTCGGAGATCACTGTCACCAGCACCCTGCAGCAACTGGCAGGAGCTTCACCTCCGGAAAGCCATGGGGCGGCCTCGTGAAGCCTCCTTCCAGGCCGCAGTGGGCTCTCGCTGGGCAGGGACGTGCTCATTTCGTAACTCCCCACCACGGATGCGCCCAGCCCAGCGCCTTCCTCTGGCCCCTCCAGATCCCTCCCTGCCACCAACCCGGTCCACGTGCGGCCATTGCCTGCAACATGGCCACAAGGTAAGGGACCGAGAACCAAATTCCAGGCTGACAAAGAGGCTCACATTCCACAAGCCCAAGCCAAGCAACGCCTGCCGCCCTCGCACCTGTGCCACTCACTGGTTGGACAGACACACGCCGAGAGCAGCCCACAGCTTGGACCCAGAACAGTGGGCACCTCTCTGCCTGTCGCACTCTGGGCCGCTGGCTTGGTCACTTACTGGTCAGGGCAGCAAAGTGGCTGAGTCCACATCGAATGCGGGAAACCTGCACATCTGGGCTGAACTCCGTGAGGCCGAAGAGCGTGGGTGGAATCATTTCTGGGAGAGCAGTTTCCACCAGGCGGGGTCCTTTCCCAAGAATTCCATAGCCCCAGACAAAAACACAGCCTTCTCCTGCATCACAGGGAAACCACGGTCGGTAAGTCGCACCAAGCGGGCCGTCCTCAACAGAAGAGCAGACGGCACCGCCTCCTTCCATTACCGCCACAGGGCTCAGGGGTTTTCCCCGGCAAGCCGCTTGCCTGCAGTGCCGGGCCAGCTGGCCGCCCTCAGAGCGCAAGCCCCCCACTGAGGGCAGGCAGGGGGCGCGGGGCCCTGCCCGCGAGTCACCCAGAAAACCGGACACAGGAAAACTCCTGACAGTGCTAAGCGGCACACCCACGCCAAACACAGAACAGTCTCCAGCAGGACTCAAAGCACTCAGGGATTTCAGCACAAATGCTCCTCCCACCCCAGCGCTGAGACCTGGCCGGGCCGCAGCCCAGCCTGCCCCAGCTCCGCGAGCCCAGAGGCAGGGCGGACACTCAGTGCACAGGCCCTGGGCTCACCCTCCCGAGCTACACCTAACCTCAGCGCAGGGCCAGCAGGGCCAGCAAGGGCGTGGGCCTCAGCATCTGAACTCTATCTGCCCCTCCTTTCTTTTTGTTCTTTCGTCACTCTGAGACTCTACCTGGCTCATCTGCCCTTTTCTGGCCAAGGTACCTTCTACTTCTGGCTGGAGCAGGAGCGGCAGCATCTCCAGCCCAGGCTGAGAGGAAGTGGCTGTGGCGCCTCTCCCCCGCACACAGCTGTCCCCCCATCCGCCACACTGCCCCTGTGACCATCGCCTGCCTCCTGGCCACGTCCCTACCTCCGCTCCGCGGGCCACACGGCCACTGCCAGAAGGGGCCTCACCGTTCAGCACACCGCAGCACGTCCCGCCGCAGGCCACCTGCTTCACCTTCCCCACTCCTGAGAAGGGCAGGCTCCGGGGCACGTTGACCTGGGTCAGGGGCAGGGTCACGCAGTCAGGACGCAGGCCGGGACAGCCAGCTCCCTCCTACACACCCCACATGCACCGGCATTGGGACAAAGGGCTACACGAAAGCAAGGGACCCGGTTCCTACCCTCAGGGAGTCCTAACCTAGGGGAGGAGGTGGCTGTCACTCCAAACTAACATCAAGCTGAGCATGGAAGCATACGTCTATAATCCCAGCAATCAGGAGGCTGAGGCAGGAGGATCACTGAGAGTTTGAGACCAGCCTGGGCTACAAAGTGAGACCCTGTCTCAAAAAACCAAAACCAAAACCCAAACTAGCAAAAGTTACATTTCTGCTAGCCAAGCCGTGGGAGGGCAACAGCTCAGAGAGCCTCACCTGGCGAGGCAAGACACCGCGTTTGGCCAAGCGAGGACTCAGCGGAGCTCATGGGCAAAGGGAGAAGACAGGGCCCTGTGGGCGAGGAGGCGGCAGAGGAACAAGCAGGGAGGGGGTGCACAGGAGCATGGGGAGAGCCGAGCAGCTCTAGGGTGCTGCGGGACAGGAAGCAGCAGGGGACGGGACAGAGCCAGCACCAGGGAAGGGGAGGTGCTCTGCGCCTGGCAACACCAGGTAAGACACCAGGTGAGACGCGGGGTCCTGGGACGTTTGAGAACCTAAAGCAGAGGCCAGGCCCGAGATGCACGCTGGGGAGTCAGGGTACACGTGACTGGGCCATGGTGTAAAGTCAGTAAAGAAGACACAAACTGGGTGTGGTAATGCCAGCACTCTAGGAGGCTGAGGCAGGAGGACTGCAAGTTTAAGCCCAGCCTGGGCAACTCAGCCACTTAGTAAAACATAACAAAGGACTGGCGAAGCAGTTTAGTGCAGAGGCCCTAAGTTCAATCCTCACTACCACAAACATCAAAAACCATAACAAGACTGTATCAGCCCTTCCAAGACAACTCCGCATGACCTGGTCTCTCTCCTGTGTAAATCCCGTTGTGCTGGGCCAGACCTCGTAGCCTGTGATGGACAGAATTCCAGCCCAAGCAAGGGGCTCCATGTCCCTCCCAGGACAGAATCAGAAAGCGCGGCTCCCCTCGCTGCGCTGGCCACGCGGGAGCCCACGGCCGTAGGGAGGTGAGGCCGGCACCTTCTCCTAGCAGAACCCTCAGGTGACAGTCGCCTCCGGGACTCAGCCTGGGACCTGAGCAAGGCGTGTGCTTTAATCCAGTGGGTCTTGGGGTCACTTGTCAGGGAGCCCACCAGAGACAGAGACATGGCCCCAAGCCTGGGGAGAGGAGAAGCAGTGCTCCTCCCCGAGACAGCCGTCGGTGGGGTTTTCCTCTGCTTTGGCGCCCAGGGAGCTCAGAGCCACGTGCACTTCCGGCTACGGGGCTGGACCACAGAGAAAGCCTCTTCCGCCTTGTTCGCTGACTTCAGTTCGTCTTTATGCTACATCCCCAGGGTCCCTCTGTGAGCCCAGGCTGGCCCCAGACTCCCAGCGATCCTCCTGCCTCAGCCTTCCAAGTGCTGGGATCACAGGTGTGCACCACCGCACCCAGCTAGTCTCTATCTCCTAGAGACGCGGAGAGCTTTCTGCGGGACACAGGACAAACACCGGTACACCGGTACTTCCATCTGGGCTCTGGAGCGAAGCCAAGGAGCGGCTGCCGTGTGACAGCCTGGGCCTGAGTGGCACCCTGCTCCCCAGCCTGGCAAGGCCCACTGAGCACTGGCCACAGGGCACCGTACCTGTGTGGAGTCCGTGACGGATGCCAGCTGCAGGTACTCGGAGTTCCCCCACCCAAACACAGCTCCATCAGCCGACACAGCCAGGCAGCAGTCGCCATAGGTGGCGACCTGGACGACCTCCACTCCGGCCAGGTCTCCGCCCAGCTTGGTGGGCGTGCTGGTGATGTTGTAGTGACCCAGACCTAGTGCGGTGGGAGATGCTTCATTATTCACCCCTCCCACAAACTTACGCGGACCTGCGACAAGGCAAGCGTAGTTGGAAACACTCAACAAACGTCGACTCAGAAATCCTGACCTGTGTTCCTCTGTGGGCACACACACCTTCCTTCGTTATGTGTTCTCAGAGGAAGAAGGACATAACTGTAATCGGTATATACACACTTCTTTTTTGGTATTTTCTTTTTTTTTTTGAGACATGATCTCACTACGTAGTCAGTGCAGGCTGGCCTCAAATTCACAGTGATCCTCCTGCCTCAGCCTCCTAGAGTGCTGGGATTATAGGCATGTGCCGCATGCCTGGCTTCCAGGAATTTTTAAAATATACTAATTATGGCCAATGTAGTGGCACACACCTGTAATCTCAGCACTCAGGAGGCTGAGGCCTGAGGGTTACAACCTGGGCAAATTAGAGACTTAGCAAGATTCTGTCTCAAAAAATAAAGAAAGAGCTGGGGGTATGCAAGGCCCTGGGTTCAGTCCTCAGTACTGAAAAAAAAAAAAGAGCCCAAGACTTCAAGTCTGTTGAGGATGCTTTCTTGGCTCGTTCCCAGGGGACCCAGAGACAGAGGAAGGAGACAGGGAGGCAGAAGAACAGCATTCCACAAGAGGTCCCCACGCGCACAGCCGCACTCTGCAGGGGTCAGGCACGCTACCTGTTTGCCCGTCGGCGCCCCAGCCACAAGAATAGACTTCACCGCAGTCGGTGAGGAAGAGACTGTGATCCTGCCCGCAGGCCACCTGGCAGACAGAGCAGGACGAGAGGACTCAGGAGCCCGGGGACTCCGCTGCGGCCCCCTCCCACCTCCCCACCTCCCCACCTCCAAGCCTGCAGGGCTTCTCACTGCATCCCGGCCCCCTGTGACCTCCCGCACCCACGTCCTCCTCAGCCCCACAGCCTCCAGCCGGTCCCTCCCTGACCCACGCCGCTGGCAGCTGGCGCTCATGCGCGCCTGAGGTCCGCGCTAGGGAACCGCGTGTGCCAGCCACAGCACGGACGGAGGAAGGAAGTGCTGAGTGGGACGCTGCCAGCCTGCGCCCGCCGGCGCCGACGATGCCAAGACACAGCCGGCGCGCTGACCTTCCCTACCCCTGCCCCGGCTGGAAATCTTAGAAACGTCCAGCCCGGACACCAAACGCAAATCCAGGCCTTGCGGCGGCAGGCTGATGGCTTTGACTCAGTGAACTCAGAAAAACGCCTAAACAAATCGGCCACAGCCCCACGCCGCCTCAGCCTCCCCACCGCGCCAGGGTGGCCCGGGTCCCCTACCTGGACCACCTGGCCATCGAAGCCCTGCATCCTGTGCACCTTGTGGCTCTCGCTACAGCCGGGAGCAAACGGGAGAAGGGAGAGAGACAGTCAAGGTCTCACACAACTAAGCACAGCACTGCGCCGGCGCTGCCTCCACCTCCCCCGGCAGCTTCCCGGAAGACAGGGAGGCAGCACGGTGCAGGGACCCCGCCGCCCCCGCGCACAGCTGTGGCACCCACGCAGCCAAGCCCGGAAGCGCGCTCACGGCCCCGGACCAAGGAGCAGACACGGCAGAGCTGCGATTACGCACCACGGAGCACTGCTCCGCCCTGCAGAGCCGCAGAGCTGGCGCACGCGTAGGAAAATGGACGCGCGTGAGGCCATAACGCCAAGCGAAACAAATCGGAGCGCATCAGGGTCAGTATGGCGTGGTTCCTCTAATAGGAGAAACCCAAAGTCCAAGGACACCGCAAAATAAAAACCGGCTGGAGGAACCGGGGAGCCGGACCTTGTGAGAGGAGGCGCGCGGAGACCCGAGGAAGGGGACGGGGATCCGGGGTGCGCTAGCGGACCGCGCGGTGCGGTGCGGCCCTTCCCGCATGCGCGCTGACTGCGAGCGGCTCGGGGAAGGCAGCGCTGGGCCCGCAAGGGAAACCAGCCAGGCAAGCCCAGGCGACTAGTGCGCAGTCAGAGGCCCCAAGGAACAAAGTGGAAAGACGGAAACAAAGGGCAACCGCTGGCGTCCAGCCAGTGGGGAAATCAACGTTTACAAGCAGGAATTCACAGCGGTCCTGCGTGCCGCGAGCCCCGCCCTTGTGCACCGCTCCCGCCACGCACCGGCCGCGGGACCCACCTGTACCGCTCGTCCTCCACCACCTTCCGGCCACACTGTCCGTACGCGTTGTTGCCCATGCTGAAAACTGAAGGAAACCCCGCCGTGAGATCAGCTCCGCGGTTCGGGGCTGAGAGGGCCCTGGGCGCTGCTCACACCCCCGCGCCCCCCCCCCCAGCCTCTGTAGGGAGCCTGGCCTGCTGGCTCCCAGGACCGCTGCCCATTAGGAGGCGAGGACCCAGCTCCCTGCGCCCGTCACTGGGGTGCCCGGGACACTTGCTCGGTCCCCTCTGAAAAGAGCTCCATAGGCCACCTCTGTGTTTCCCCGTCGGGGCTCAGGTGGGAGGCGAATGTGAAAGCCACCACCAGGCCACCCTTTCCCTGGGCCACGAGACAGATAGCATAGGGCTGGCTAAGTGGGACAGGCTGAGCTTGAACTGGAGATCTCCTGCCTCAGCCTGCCGAGCAGCTGCGATCACAGGTGTGATCACAGCCTGTGACCTGCAATCACAGCCGGCTCCCACCTGTCATCTATCGAGACCCACAGAGAAGAGAACGGTTAGTGGCCCACACCTTTTCAGGCGTCTCACCTCCTTCGCGGTCGGTCAGGACGAGGGAGTGGGCGCGGCCACAGGCCACCTGCAGCACGCGGGTCTCCTGGGGTCGGTCCAGAGGCAGCGCGACAGGTGAGGGCTCCAGCACATACTCATAGCCCCGGGCTGAAGAAGAGCACCAGGGCGTCAGCGTGGAAGCACACTCCGTGCCCGGCTGCTGCGTCAGTTGAGGTGACTCCCAGGCCCAACAACAGCACGCTTCCACCGTCTTCTTAAAGAAACCCAGGGCCCCGGCTGTGCCTCGACCACTACTTCCTGCCCGATACACTCCCTTAGGTCACAGAATTAAGAGTCCTTATTTTTATAGGCATGGACGGAAAGCTTACAGCTGAAATATATAATGTTGGGATCTGCTTTAACTGTAACAGAAAATAGTGGGGAAGTCAGGCCTGGTGATACATGCCTATAATCCCAGCACTCAGGAGGCTGAGGCAGGAGGACTGCTGAGAATGTGAGGCCAGCCTGGGCTCCATAGTGAGTTCAAAGCCAGCCTGAACTACACGGTGAGACTCTGTCTCAAAAAACAAAATTTAAGTAGGGGAAAAAGAATAAAACATGACCAGTGTGAGCTGGTTACAGCTGAAGCTGGTGTCAGTCTGTGGACATGTCACACTGTTCTGTCCAAAGGTCTCCTAATAAATGCAAGGCAGCATCTTACAGCTAGCGAAGACTTTGATACTGACTTATAAAGACATCTGATATAAAAATTAAGTGAAAAAAGAAAACAAAATACATACTATGATATAAATTATGCAGACATATTTGCAAATGAACTAGAGAAGAGGAAAAAAAGAGAGTCCAGTATGTACTTTAGGGTAATGTCTTCCTTTTGTGATAAATAAAACTGATCTGTACTATTTCTAATCTTCACAGGCAATTTGGGGGGCGGTACTGGGGCCTGAACCCAGGGCCACCACACTGACCTGTACCTCTAACCTCATTTTGAAAATGTTTTTATTTAAGTCTCAAAAAGTCACTAAATTGCCCAAGCTGGGCTCAAATTTGCAATCCTCCTGCCTCAGCCTCCTAGAGTACTGGGATTACAGACATGCACCACCATGGCCAGCTAACAGTCTATATTTTAAGAAATATTCTCTGGTTAATGTCTACTATTTCTAACATTTTTACAACGGAAATTTCAAACGTGTAGTACAAAGCCTCCACCTTCAGGCCCTCACTCACTTCTCCCCTGACCGCACTCCGGGTGCTGTGGGTTCGGAGACAAACAGGCCCCTGCTCACTGCCCAGCAACCCCAAGCTTTCGCCCTTGTACCGGAAGCCTCAGCGCTGTGGGCACAGAGCCCGGAAGTGCTCTCCCCTGTCTGTCCCTCCTCTGTGGCAGCAGAGACCCCGGGTGGTGATGGTGCTCACTTTTATCCTTCCGACTCTGGTGAAATCCAAGCTGAGAGTCTTTGTTGAACCCCATGCCCCAAACTTTGGTGACGTCCTTGGTTCTGGAGGACAGCAGTGTGAATCCGTAGCCACAGGCGGCAGAGGAAATCTGAAAACGAGTTCCCCCAGGGTCACCCGACTGGAGGGATCAGGGGCTCCCAAATGACTACTACCTGAATCCTGCACTTCATACAGCAACCAGCTTGTACTGAGCCTTTACTGCCTGCCTCACTCCTGCCATCTCACTCAGGCTCCGAAGTCGCCTTAGGAACAAGGGAGAAACTGAAGCTAACCCACTGCCGGCCATGAGTTAAGCAGCCTTCTCTCCCATGCCTCCGCCTTTACGCGTCTTCATGGGGCCATAGGATCACGGCGGTGCATGCCTGTAATCCCAGTACCCAGGGAGGCTGAGGCAGGAGGAAGGCAAGTTCCACCCCAGCTTGGGCAACTTAGCGGGACCCTGTCTCGAAATGAAAAAAAAAAAATTAAAAAAAAAAAAAATTCATAAAATAAAGTAAGCCGGGTGTGGTAGCGCAGGCCCGTAATCCCAGCGCTTGGGAGGCTGAGGCAGGAGGATCGTTGTGAGTTCGAGGCCAGCCTGGGCTACAAAGTGAGTTCAAGACCAGCCTGAACTGCGCAGTAACGCCCTGCCTCAAAAAGATAAATAAGTAAATCAATAAATTCATTCATTAAGAAGAGCTGGGGATGTAGCTCAGAGCAAAGGCCCTGGGATCCATCTTCAGTACCACCGTCAAATAAATAAATAAGGGAAAGAGAAGGAGCGCGTGGAGGCGGCCTCGCCGCGTCCCGATACACAGTCCCCCCAGCTGCGGCCCGGCCCCGGGCTCTGTGCCTCCCTGTCCTCCCCTACCACGGGGTGACAACCGCCAGCTCCCGGGATGCCGAGCGAGGGCCGCCGCCGAGCACCGCCCCCGTCGCGGCTCCCTCCGGGCCCCGCGCCCCGACTCCCCC